AAAAAAAAAAAAAAAAAAAAAAAAAAAAAAAAAAAAAAAAAATTATTTTCGAAAAATAATATAATTTGTCATAAAAATAAATAAAATATAGAAGGTTGCATATATTTATTAATGTTATTATATTTTGACTTATAGAAGGTTGCACATATAAATAAAATGAATGTTATTATAGATGAAATATATAAACTTATTGACGAGAACATTATGTTAGGGAAAATTTAATTTATATTTTGACTTACTAAATATTGGTTTTAATTTTAAAAAAATAATTCATTTTTTTTCTAAAGTAGAATAATAATCTTTTTAAAACACAACAACATCATCTCTAACTTTTTTAGTTGGAAAAAATTAAATAAAACTTCACAATGTGTTAGGATTAAGAAGGTGAATTGTTTTCAAGAACTAATATTTATAAATATTTTTTAAAATGTAAAATCTCATGCAAGTTATTTTTGGGAACTAAATTGACAAACTTCAAAATTTATAATTTATAAACATTATATTTTAATTTAACATTTATTGTGTAATTAAAATTGATGTGAATTTGTGTTCAAATGTAGTAAATTATATATAAAAAAAACTATCAGAAGCTATTCATCAATTTACATGTATGCTGGAGTAAAAAATGTCTGCTATAATTGACTTTCATTTGTCAATGAAATTTTATTTAAGTAATTCAATATTTTTGCAGCGAAAATCTCAATGCATATTTCAAGAAGTTAATTAGCTTCCGGTTATAAATAATTTTCAGTCCAAATAGCTAGATATGTTATTGACTGATATTGAAGAATTTTTTTCTTAATTCAACAAAAAACGAAAAACACAATTTTAAAGTATAAAAGGTAAAATTCTCGCAGTATATTTTTTTTTTGTTTGTTCTACAATTATCCTTGACGTTTTCTAATTCAAGACTACTATTTAAATTTCAACGATGATAATTTTTATTATGTTGTCTTAGGCAATGTGAGTTGATCAAAGTCAATTATTGTTGTTATGTGTGATATTATTGCTGAAAAAAACATGCACTTAAGCATAATAATAGCATATTGTTGTTTCTAGAGTTATAAACGAAATATTAATATTTTCAGTGGCAATAGTGATCATAATAAACTCAATTCGCCTACAACTAATGTTATTTGTATAGTTATTCAAATGTCTAATAAGTGATATTATTGTAAATAAATTATCATTCAATTAAATTATAATTTCTCAATATATTTAACATCATACCGGTTGCGCGGGTGCCGTACTAGTTAGATTTATAAACGTAAGAGTGAATATGAGGTTTTGCTTGATGTGGTGCGTTGGGAATCCAAATAAAATAGGTTTGTGGGTTTTGCCAGTAAAGTTGTCCATAAAGATTCTTGTTAATATCTATTAATATATAAAGAGACAACCTAACAAATATTTAAATAGTAACTAAAAAATTATTTGAAATCCCGCCTAAAAATATAACTAAACGTAGAAACTATTTGAAAATTTTCACAACATGGCTCCACTTATTAAATCATTTGAAATTTTTGAAAAATTGAAATTTTTTGTCAACATCCAAAAATTCGATAAATCCGGCTT